AGAAGTACAGTACCATATTATAACTTCCTACACTATACTATACTTCATTGATATACTTGTCTGTTAGTTCTCATTATTATTGTATCTAACAAAGAAAACCAGCCCTTAAATTTACGCTTCTTTCATTCAGTTGTACTATAAAGCTCATACATGTCAAGTGGGCTCAAATAAGCCAGCTTTCTACGTCTATAAGCCTCTTACGGTTAATATTATGATCGAAGGATATGCTGCGATGATTTCTAGCATCCACCAGCAGAAGTCCTTCAGAGTTTACGGCACTGCTAGTCTTAACAAACAGCGCAATCAATATGTTGTTCTTGGAAACCGACTTCCGTGATCGTCTGCCGGGAAATCGTCTGCTCACTAACCACAGAAGGAACAGAAGTCGATACATAGCCTTCACGAGTCGTTTACGATTCCACGACGACTATCGACTCGAAGACAACATCGTGTGCTGTACAGGGAAGACGCGGGCTTGCCGCAACGAATAAATGTCTTCTATTGACCATTGACAAATCGATACATCCGTGATCGTTTTCCTAGAAGAGTGCGCATTAACCGCCGAAGAACAAATACTAAGCTATCGTTGTACACGGTCTTTAGCGAAACGTCCGAAATGCCATAATTGCGCGCGCATCTGCGATGCTTGAAAACCATCACAAAGCTGATAGTCCAGCAATCAATATCGCATTTACGAATAGTCTGCATCTGTACAATCCCAAAGCGATCGTCTGGCTGGCGACAACAAAGATCGTCTGGTCGCACACTGCAGACTACAACGTTGCAGAAGTTCAGACGAAATGAAGGCACGAAGCTGAAGTCTACCCAGTGCGCGATTAAGACGTCATTGCTGGCGTAAAAAAAAATAATACAACTGCAGGATTTTCACATGCACCGAAAGCATGTGAACACCATGAGGCACTCCGTACAGTGGGGTACTGCAGACTGAATTTTATCACTAAGATTTCTTAAAAGGGTACTGACGCCTTTTGCAAAGCCGAGTTTGCTCCTTCATGCAAATATCTATACAGAGACGTCTCTGAGGAAGCGCGAAAGCTCAGTAAATGCTGACAATATACTTTTGGCATGAAAGTCAGTTTTCACATTGCACACCTACTGACATCGGCACTGGCGTGACGTCAGGCAAAGCTGTTAAGCCTGGTGACTTGACGCACCATGACGACTAATTGTGGTGACGTCAGCAACCAGAACACACAAAACGGCTGGATGTGCGTCACCAACGGAAACTACGAGCGTAGCAGCCGTGCAAACATCGCGATAACTTGCTGAGCACGTGAAGAAAAGCTCATGTGTCGTGACTTCAAGGCACAGCGGAAACCGAAACTAACATTTGAAAAAAAAAATGTTAAGTTTTTTCAGAGTGCGACCACGCATATACCACAACATTTCCTTGGATTCAGAGGGCCTGGCCTTTTATATAACGCATAACAACGACAGCTTGAAAATCCACACGTCAGTATACCTCGCTAACGTCCCCATGTGCGTGAGTATATACACGGGCCTAAATTTCTTTTTTCGCGTTCCGGCGTGGTCTAAATGAGGCCACCTCCGCGCCCTAGGAGTCGAACCCGAGTCCTCGAACATTATAAGTGTCACGACTACTACCACATCCATAGAGTCCCTACGGCGGGATATGCAGAACTAACAGCCGTCTACTCTTACGAACAAGGGCAACAACAATACTTATTACTGTGCCCCGCCACGGTGGTCTAGAGGCTAAAGTACTCGGCTGCTGACCCGCAGGTCGCGGGATCGAATCCCGGCTGTGGCGGCTGCATTTCCGATGGAGGCGGAAATGGTGTAGGCCCGTGTACTCAGATTTGGGCGCACGTTAAAGAACCCCAGGTGGTCGAAATTTCCGGAGCCCTCCACTACGGCGTCTCTCGTAATCACATGGTGGTTTTGGGACGTTAAACCCCACAAATCAATCAATCAATATTAATTACTGTTCGGATTTTGCATCCAAAAACCACGATAGCATTTCTAGAGACGCCATAGTGGAAGGCTCCGGGAATTTCGACCATCTTGTGTATTCTTTAATGTGTACCTAAATTTAAGTACACTGACTTCAAGCGTTCTCGCCACCATCCGAAAATTCGGCCGCCGCCGCCGGGATTCGCTCCGGCGACCTTCGGTTCAGCACTCGAGCCCCGCGACCCCCACAGACCACCGCGGCGGGAAGGAACAAGGAGATGGCAAACGAAACAGCGCCACCAACTTCTTTCCGAGCGTCCGCACTTATGCACACAGTCCCGCGCGTAAAACCCCGCATTTACATTTGAAGTGCGCGCGCATGCCGTATGAGGCGGTAAATAAACATAGCGAACAACTATTTCCCCCCCCCCCCCTTTTTTTCCCAGGCGACGCGGAGATTGTTTTAACTGGACGTATACCGCTCGCTACCTTAAGATTTTTTTTTTTTTTTCGCAGCGGGTGGTTTTGCCGTACGGCAGTCGTGACGGGGTGACGCAACTCGCGTTTACACGTACGAAAGGGTAGCCGCGAACAACAGAGGGCGAAAAAGAAAAAAAAAAGGTGAACCATAGAGAGAAGAAAACAGGTCAACCTTGAACCCCTCATTGCCGCAGCGCGGGGCTGCGACAAGGTTGAGTAGAACGAACTAGGCATTCCGTTTCGGCTTTTTTCTTCTTTTTCTTTTTAAATCGCATATAAGCCAACGCAAGCCGCATCTCCGTAGGCTCTTGAGCAATAAGGGTAGAGGCTCTCGGAACAGGCATTGATTGAGAATGTATAGCCTTTGAGTTTGAGGGTGGTTCTTGCATGCGTTGCATGTGGAGGAAACGTGGAGAATAACAAGAAATCATGGCGGCTTTCCGCTAATTGTGCCGAAGCTGGAGGAAGCGCGTAGGTGGGTAGCCTTCATTTGTTTGTTTGTTTGTTTGTTTGTTTGTAGCCTGGACACCACGGCACATACCCACTCTGTGGGAATTCGCCAAGAAAACTTATAGTACCCTACGTACGGTAACTACACTATTGCTTACCAACAAAAAAATAACGCAAAAGAAAGGAAAAAGAAGGCAAAGAAGAGAAAAAGAAACCTTTAAATTGTTCAGCGGTTCAGTGGAGCGTTAGAGAAACGGTTATGAGTGCCGTGGTTAATTTGATTGCTGCTTAGACTTGACTCGAATAAATCGCACATGGACACAGCGCGACTCATATAGACTTCGCTAATTCACAGTTTTCAGTCTGAAATACTGCCCGTTCTGAAAAAACAACGGTGGATCAGTGGCTAAGGTGCTCGGCTGGTGATCCCAAGGTCGTGAGTTCGATTACTGCCGCGGCGGCCCAACCAGGGACATTATTATTATTATTATTATTCGACTGAAATGGTGATCACAAAAGCAACGATTCTACAGTGTCGTGACCACTTACTCCCTGAGGTCTTTTAGAAGAGAGAAAAAAAAAAAGCTAGATTGGTTTGGAGATACGGAAGAAGCATAAAGAGTAATCGATGACGCCGAATGAACAGACAATCAATGAGCGCGAACATTAGATAAGTCCAACTTACGCTGCTATCATGATATATTAACATTCGAAGCCACAGATGGTATTTAAGTCATCTCTTTAGAAAACCTATGCCGTGAATAGTGTACGGAGGTTGAGCGAACAAAATAACTTTAGTAAAACTGTGGTAAAAAATAAAAACACGAATTCGCAAAATATAGCAAGCGCAAACTCTCAAACCATATAAATCGAAGCGGCAGTAGCCTAGAAAACGTTAATTTCACGCGATAGGCTCCTGTCAAACAGCTGAAGTCCTAAACGAAGTGTTTTGCACGACGAAACATTTTAAGCGCAAACACACAGAGCAGACGTATTGAAATAGAAAGAAGAAAGGGTATCGTTCGGTATCATTTCGTCCAAAGCACCTTTTCCATTCTCCGAAAATATTCCATCATAATCATCCCTATCAACTAAAGATGCCCGTAAAAAAATGGTATAACAATTTGTGATGACGGTATCAAGCATTGTAATATCAAGGGAAGACGCTATCGGATGCGACAGGTGCATTCCATTAAGGAAATCCGGCTTGATATTCGGACCTTCCGCCAGCCAATCATTTTTTTTTTTCAATATGTTAAACGTACGCGCAAACCTAAGCGGAAATTCGAAAGGAAATGGGACGCATTTCCCGTCATCCAAGTTATTTCCGGCTACGCGATTGGACGATAAAAAATCTTCACTGCTTTTGTCCTCCATCAGTTACCTAAGCCCACTTACGCTTTAATTGTATAACCCCATACACAAAAGTCGTCTGCTACTCTACGTCTGCGAACCAACGTTCTGCCGTGAATCGTTCTCCTGCAAGTATAGCAGACGGCAAACGCATTAGAATTTGAACTTCAGATTTCTTGAACTAAACAGGCGCGCATAATTTATTGCGAGCCAGACGGCATCTACGATCACATTACAGGATGAAGTAGCCGCCGGCGTCAGTTAGGAGCGTACTTATTTAAAACTGCATTTGTGCACTGAGCAGGCGTACAGAAACGATTGATTCATAAACACCGAAAAAAAAAGTGTGATGTCTAACATAGCCGTACATAACACGATTCACCATGAGACAGCGTTGGACGCCTTCCTACTCAACACGCGCGCTCATCTAGCCAACAGACGTGCATAAACATCTGGATCGTTTGCGTAAGCAAGAGAGGAAACCAATCAGAACACACAGACGAGGCAGACGATCGACATGCGCTTACATAATTTAAGCATAAGCCAAACGGCAAATGCAAGCATAGACCTGCATTCAGTAAATGAATGGACGTACAGCAGCGTCTGGATCGCTAGCTCAGAGCAGATGACAGAGAAAAAAAAAATCCTATCAGACAAAAACCAACGAGGCAGACATGCGGTCCACGTGCTTTACTCATCACCTAAGCAAGTAAGCGTTAAATACAAGCACTTCACAGCTCAGCTAAACCGCATAAGCTAAAAACAGGTACACAACTCCTCACCTGACATCTCTGAGCGGCTTCGGACGGCAGCAATCCTGCACATGTTCCACACGAGACAAGGTGGTAGCGAACACTCCGTAGCAATCCGAATCTTCATGACGGCGTTGAACGAACAAAAAAAAAACGCAGCAGAAATTGGCGAAGCGACAACACGCGGAGACAAGTTTTAGGTATTAAAACGAGCCCCGCACAGCTGGGAGTGGAAAGGCCTTGTCGAAGGTCATCGAAGCACTGGCACAAGCCAAAAAAGAAACTACACCAAGTCGTCGTCGTCGTCTCTGTAGTGCTGTAGTCCGGAGGACAAGCGTCCTCTAGACCGATCGCACGACCTCACGCAAAGGTTGTGTCGGTTTGCCTTGACGTCTTTCGAAGATTGGAAGCGGCGATCAGATCAACAGCGCCGATCGCGCAGGGGTCGGGTACAACAGCGCGCCGGCCGGGGTACTCCGGGACGCCGACAACTTTCTTGGCACGTCACGTCGACGATTAGTACTACGTCAACCGGCCTTCTTCTCCAAGCCGACAACGAGTACATTGCGCTTCGTAAGCACGCCGAGACATGAACAATTTCTTTTGTTTTTTTGTACTTTTCTCCAACCCTCCGTGTGGGTCGGACGGGGTCCCCTACTCGTGAGAGCCGCGCGATGCCGAGCAGACGACGCACAACACACTCCCAGAAGCAGACGACGCGATGAGCCTGATCCAGAAACCGGCCGCCAGGGTGAAGCACACGCGCTGTTTTTTTGTCTTGCGGCGAAGCCGAACCGAGCCGAGTAAAGTACCCCGTGGGCTCGCTAGACGAGAACGGCAGCAGCAGACGACCACGACA